GTAATATATCTGGTCTCGCTGAATCCTGCTGCCAAAAAGCGTTAGATTGGATTACGAACATTATTACATCAAAAATGGATTGAAGGGCTTAAAGACTAACAATAAACAGCAAACGTATTAGATTTATGGGGCAAACATCTACCAGAGCCTAGTTTCTGCTTTAGTGCTTCCATCAAATGAGGTCTCCTTGCCTTAAACAGCCTCACAGGAGAGGTGGGATGCTGTGGCCAGACCCAAGGACTTGACAGAGAGATGAGCAAGAGACCTTCACCTGGAAAAACACCACAGGGCTGGTTGGCCAAGGCACTGCCCATCCCGTCTGCAATCAGAGGGAGGCTGTGCTTGGGGGTCTTCGCTCTCCCGCCCCCCCTCAAACACAGCAGGGGCCGCAGGGACCATCACCCACCAAGGATGAATCGGGCACTGGGCTGAAGAACACGTCACTCAAGGCAGCTCCCTGCCAGGGCAAGGACCAGCAGCAGGCTGGGCGCTCCTGGGCTGCATCCAGAGCTCCTGCACGGACAGCCACGCTGAGAGCTCCTCCTCACACTGCCCCACTGCCAAGACATGGGGATGAACGCGTCTCTATCTAGGCACCTCATTACCAGAGATAGTGAAACTGGAGCAAGTTCAAAGAGTAGCAGCAAACGCAATTAAGAGCCGGAGTGAATTAGTAGAGAGCCGAACCTGCACGGCTGGCTAAGCTGTGGCAGGACGGAGCTGCCCACAATCACCCCAGGAGCGCAGACAGGAGGGAAGGGGGGGAAGGCTACTTGAGTGGGACACGGACAGCCAAGGAAGCAGAGAAAATCATCAGAAATTGATAAAAAAACAAGGCTGAGGAGAAATGTCGGTATGGTAAGGCTCTCAGACCTGGGGCAGATGACCCAAAGCAGGACCCCCAGCCCACCTTTAGGACAGCGCCTTCACTAGACAGCCTTCAGTTTTCCTCTTTCTATAGCCTTTTGCTCCTGCAGCCCAAAAAGCAATCGGATGGATTATTTTTAGGCACTGGGACACATTCTTCCCTCCCATTTCAGCCATTCACAAGCAACCAGCTTCTCTACCAGCTCAGCAAGGGCAAAAGGAGGAGTAGCCGCATGCCTGCTAACGAGCCAGAAGTACCTTCTGCCTCGATGAGGACGGTGTGAGTGATCCAAACCTCGCTGCTGGCACAGGGTACGGCAGCAGCACTCGCATCCACACACAGGTCCACAAGTACAAGCTACCCTGGAGGCCCCAGCAGCCTGCCCACCCACAGTTTTGTGCTTCGCTGAGGAACCCCCAAAAGGACTTTCTTCAGTGGCAAAAAGTAAGAATTCATTCCTCTTGGACCTCACCTTCCTAGCTCCCACACAGCACGGGAGGAAGCACCTGGGAGAGCCACCACCGTGCACTTTCCTCCATCTGTGTGAGCCTATGATGTTGCAGGGAGGGGACAGAGACCCCCACCAGGCATCAAGGCAGGAGTCCAAGGATGGGAAAAAACATGGGCTGGCCTTGAACCCGAAGTCTGCTACGGAGCAAAATACCCAATTCCCAGATTCCCAGGTTATCTGCCTGTCAGGGCCCTGTCCGGGGGATGGTGCCCCATGTGCTGCTGGAGCACCACGTCCTCCTCCAAGCTGCTGTCTCCGGCTTCTGGACCTGCAGGCAGGAGCTGCCACATCTTGTTTGTTATGAAAAGGCTTAGGAAGAGGCAAAATCGCTGGGAGAAAAGATGCTTTTAATGGAAGCTTGGGGCTGGCGCAGAGGCACTCGGCACAAGGCTTCGGAGGGGATGGGGAGAGGTTACGTTTGCTTTCAAAAGCCTTTTTCATTGCTAAGCCGAGGGCTGGGGCCATGTCCCTCCATGATAAAAGTGGCCCTAAACAAGGCTTGGCATATCCAAGGTGAGGGTGAGGGGGATGGAGCAGCCCTGAATGGGGAGGGACCCCAGGAAGCTCCCTGGTTCCAGTGGGGAGGTTTCGCAACTGCCTGGGGAAGGTGGGGGGCAAGCGGTACATGTCCCGCTGCCACCCCGCTCCCCTCTGCTTCAGCATCGCTTCCCCCGGCTTAGGGCTGCCGGCAAATGAAAGGGAAGAAAAAAACCTTTTGTGCATCAGGGCAAAGCTTTGGGAGAGGGGAGGGGAAGGGGGGAAAAAAAGGGGAAGAAAAAAAAAAGGAGAGAAAAAAAAAAGAAGACAACATGTGGGTGGTCTGCTCAGGAGACTTTTGACTTTGTTTTTTTGGCTATTTTATTTCTTGGCAGAAAGAGCTCCTGGGGCTGCTCGGCAGAGGGTACGGCCAGATCACAGGAGCATCCTCGGCCCACCCAGGGGCCAAAGTTCAGTTGGCAGCGGCCGCTCGCTCCCAGCGCCAGCTCGCTCCCAGCACCGAGGGGGCTCGCTTCAAAGCGCAGAGGAGTCAAGAGAAATTAAAGTCAGAAACGGTCCGAGGAGGGGGCAGAGGGCACTGTTGGCCCCCCGAGGAGAGAGGGGGACCCCATAGGGATGCTCTGAGCACCCTGCTCACCGCATCCCTATTCCAGCTCTGAGACGCTGCAACGGGAGGCTGGAAAATAGAGGATAATAAAGATTTTATGGCAGTTTCTGGGGATATTCCCCCCCACCTTGAGATGAAAGCAGGACTGCATTACAAATATAGGAAAAAAAATACCCAGATATTGGAGAAGATTCCCACTGCTGGTAGCAGAATCATATTAAAAAGAAAAAAAGACTGGGCAAAAATGCAACGAGTTTAAAAGCCTCAGCCAAACCTCTGATGGGATGCACAGCTGTGCCGCGCGCAGCTTGCAAAATCCCGGCCATGCATCCCATCGGAGGCGCAGTGAGCTGGAGCGATGGTGACCCAGGTGTGCTGGCAGCACTGGAAACTCCACCAAAACCTACGGGTGGTTGATTTAACTTAAGCAAGAGCTTTCGCGTGAAATGCAAAGCAGCTCCTGAAAACATGTGCGATTCAGAGCCTGGTAAAAACCTCTGCCTGCACCTCCCTGATGGGCTGCGTTGTGATGTAAGAGACCCCCACGCTTCTCCTCCCTGGAGCTTCGTTAGGCTCCAGAGCTCGTTCTGGGGAACATATTTGTCTTGGGGTCTATTTGCAGCCTGAGGGTCCCAGGGGACGCAGCAGCAGGGTTCGAGGCAGGACCCTGCTTTCAGCTCTCATTAGCTTGACGACCGTGCCGCTGCTTGAACTTGACCCCTCGAGTACAGAGGGGCCGCTGACCGAGTGCTTCAAGATGTTTGCCTGACATACAAAAGGCTCATGGCTGTGCTTTAGCCCCTCTCCCCTCTCTTTGCCCGCTGCAGGGAAAGCTTGCTGTGGAATTAAGCCTTGCACCAGCTGAGGGACAGCAGAAGGGCTGAGCTTTTGGGGTCCACAGCCACCAGGCTGGTAACAGCCCTGGCTACCCACCGTAAGGGAGATGGGAGCCTGTGGGAGACCTGTGCCAGTGATTTTAGCATCCTAAGCCCATCCCCGGAGCGCCTGGGCTTCAGCCAGGCTCGCCTGCACTCCCCTTGACGTCTGCAAAGCTGGTGATCCCAGCAGTGCTCCCCTACACTGGGCAGATGGCCCCAGATCCGGACAGGGCGGGTGACCGACTGACGGCAGTTCGAGAGAGAGACAGGCCCCGCCAAACGGTGACTCAGGCCGGCACAGCC